TGCAGTTGATAAGTCGACAATTGAGAACTCCAATTTTAACACGAGCAGGATGACCAGATTTATAGTACATGGATTTATAGACAATGGAGAAGAACACTGGCTGTCAGATATGTGCAAGGTATGTACCACAGGAACATCCTGTCCCTGTGAGGTACCTTAGTTTGCATTTATAAACACATTCCTAAAAATTGTCTGATTTCCCTGTTTCTAACCAATTTTTCTCATGATATTTGAAGTGATAAGAAAGGGAAAAAAGGTGACATTTTCAAATTGTTATCAACTTAAATATGTAGCTTTGCACCTTGAGGAAAAGCATGAGGCAAAATCTATAAGGTTCTTCTCTTTACTGAAGTAAGTGACAACAGGATTTGACTCCATAAGTGTCCTTTTTCTTGGTAAAAACAATACAAACCCTGGATAAAGATACTGCTTAGGATCTAGGATGATTCCAGAAATAACTGCAGACTCAGAGCTGCTGAATCCTGTTTTCCCCAGAGAAGGAACAGGTTTCTAGATGTGGAAGTTTATCACAAAGGCTTGGGCTGCTGTGTGGCTCCTGGGGGCTGGGGGGCTGTTTGGGCTGGCCATTACCAGGAGCAATAAAGCTGCAGAAATGAGATCCAGAAGGGACCTCAAGGGGAGCATTTCAAACAAAGCTGTCAATCTAACACTTACTACGAACACTGAATGTAGTAAAGCACTCTGCTTTATTGATTTTTCTGCTAATTCCACGAATTATTTCTTAACCCTGTCCCCACACAAAGTGCAAATCCAGCTTGTGGTTTTCTCAAGTCCTTCAAACATGCTTATGTGGCAGCTGTAGCTAATGAAAGCTACTGGTCATACAGCACAGAGCAAAATCCCAGCTGATGGCACTTGCATGATACGGTTTTCAAAAATCTATTAACATAACTACAATTTTTTAAAATTATGTGTTCCTATTTTACTTATGAGATCACTATGAGAAACAATGTGAAACTTAAATCAAGGCATTTCACACTTATTGCATCCCCATCACCTGCTTTTCTTTGATACTAGGTAAAAAGAAAAGAGATTAAATTTATTTGTCACTTTCTCTTGAAAAAAAATCTATGCTGATTATCACTTTATGAAAATTCACAAATGATTGTTGGATTTGTTAGTTAATAATTTAATCACAGTATTAGAAACATTGTGATGTTTTCACACTTTTCTCTCTCCCCCTTTCCCCTCTTAAAATAGAGGGTTTTTCCTAGAACTTCACAGTCAACGAGATAGCTCATAATTTCCTTCAGATAGTACCTTGAATCCATTTGATCAATTTTCACAAGGATGTAGAGGCTTGAGATAAATCCTTAATTTTTTTCTCCATGATGGTAGCCTATGTTTTATCACAACACTCCAATTTATTTATATTTAGAGAAAATTTGGTCTCAGTGAATCTTTTTAAAAAAGAGTGGAGCAAATGGGATTGTGAATACATCATCCCTCCTATGTGTATCTGTTACTTACTTTCCTTCCCATTAAGCAATAATCCTATCTGCACATTGATTTTTATTACTTCTAACATGGTCACAGACACTTCAATTGCCTTTTTTATCCTTTGCCAGTTTTAACTGTTTTTAGATGCTTTATAATGTCTGAACACAAAGCAAAGAAGAATAACTATACATAAGCTTCTAAAGCAAAATACTTTTAGCCAAACAATCCAGCTCAGTGGAGGACAGTAAAGCTTCTCATTCTGTGGCAGACAATAAGGCATCTGCCTGCATATCTATCTATCTATCTATCTATCTATCTCCAAATAAAGTAATAAATTTGGAATGGATATTCAGGAACACCATCAGACTATGCACCCTCTTATAAAAAGGCATTCTCTTTTTTAAAAATCTGTATCAGAAAAACACCGTTGATTTTTATAATCAAAAATGTAAGTTCTAATTCAATTTTAATTAAATAAGTATTTTTAAATCACTGAAGTGAATCAGTACATAAGTAGAGCTCTCAGTGTTACATACAAAGTTTGATTGAAAATAAAAATTAAAAGTAGCACTATTGATATTGTTTTCCCTTCTGTAAAAAATACTGCTATAGGCATTTGAAATGATTGTGGCCATTCCTACAGCACATCACCCTATTTCAGCATTGTGTGAGCACACACACCACTGTGAGCAGGCACGACCACACCCACATGCTACAGGTTTTGGTTCTCAAAAGGTTGTCATACAAGTTCACACAAAATACACGAGTTGAGCTGTAATAAGCAACACGACTCGATTCCGTACTGTATTTACCATGGGTTTTACTCTTGTTTTACAAAACAGAGGATGCTTACTGTGGAAGATGTGAACTGCATCTGTGTGAACTGGAAGAGAGGTGCAAGATGTCAGTACACCCAGGCATCGAACAACATCCGTGTTGTAGGCGCCGAAATCGCTTATTTTGTACAAGTTCTTATGGTAAGAGCATTCTGTATACAAAGCTATAGCTGTAACACTGATTTGAAAGAAATACGGTACTGGAACTTCCATGAATGTGGATGTAGCCAGCAGAAAACAGTCTTCTGCTCCACGATCATTTCAGTTGTGCTGAAACCAGACCTTTTCTTAAAAAAACTGTTCTAGACAACCTTGGGATAGGAATTTCAACAAGATATTCCTGCAGTACAGCCAGGCAGAAATAATGGACACGGCAAACTGCTTCTTTATGGAGACAGAACCTACCAAAACCTACTAAAGAGCTCGTAAGAATGCCAGAAAATAAGCTGCCAGTCAGCAGAGGCTGGAGGACAACTACTCTCAGGGAGCAACAGTGGCTGGGGACAAGCAGGACCCACCAGGGAAAGCCACGGCGGACAGTACCCAACTCTGCAGGAGGTGCCTCATGCCCACTTTTGTAGGCAGCTTCACATGGGAAGTGATGCTTGGTTTGAAGCCTTCTTTTAATCTAATTGCTTTCAACACACATTTCCCACAAAATAACTATAAATTACTAAAAACAGAGAGCATGCTGGGTCTAGGAGTGCTCTGACCCGTCTCACTCTCTACATCTGCATTGCAGCTCCTGAGTTACTGTCCAAAAAGGCCGAGGGTATCTCTCCTCTCATGTTCTCCCCCAGCTGCATGTGGTGCCCAACCTGTCAGGTGCAACTCAGAGTTCCTGCCTGGCTGACTCTCGTAAGCCAGATAAGCATTCTGTGAATCTTAACAGGCCTAGAATGTGACACAGGTACAGAGCCTCTCAGAACAGAACTGTCTGGAGCTGTAACAGCCTCCAAAGGCAGGGAGCACCTGAATAAGGAGTTCTGAAAAATCTATGTATTGAACATAAGTAACTATACAGGCAAACAGATGCTGAAATCCTATAAGAGTTCCTTATAGGAGAGGAGTCAGTGGTCCAATTAGAACTAGTTTTTCAACCCCTTTTTAGTCTTCCCTATTGCTGATGAAAAGAGATGTAGCAGTTTTTCTTTGTTGTTGTTTTCCCAGGACGAATACGGATACTCTCCGGCTGACGTCCACATAATCGGGCACAGCCTTGGAGCACATGCTGCTGGTGAGGCTGGCAGGAGGAGGCCAGGGATTGGAAGAATAACTGGTAAGTCAGTGACTTCAGCCACCAAACAAAACGTTGCTGCTCATTTCCTCTTCCGGTTTTATCCATGGGCTGCAGGGTAGTCAAGGTAATTTGAGTATTACAGAATTCAGCCTCTTATGGTACACCAAGGAGCAGTGCCCTGATAAGCGTGGGAAAACAGTCAGCATGATGATTATTTTGCTTGCACATGTGTTACACAGCAAAGGAAATTTTCTAACATGTTCAGCCCTTCCAGAGGTAAAGCTATGGGTCTGATCTTATTCATCACACGGGCAGCACCAAGGGCGTTGTGCATTAAGCAGAGTGACCTTTCATGCATAAAAGACAATTCTGGATATTATTAACACAACCCTTTTCAATTGCTTACTTTTCCTCAGGGATTTCAGGCTTGGTGAACCTTGGACTAAAAGTCTACAAAAGTCAGTTTAAAAGCAAACCCTAATGTGTTGCCCAGGGACAAGAAGAGATGCAACTATAAGTTGGCAAAAACTGTGTAATTTGCAAGACTTTACAAGCTCCTGAAATTGCTGCAGCAATGTGGGAAGCAAATCAATTCTATTTTCTGCTAGGCTCAAGAGCCAAGATCGTCATTTCAAAACAAGATGTTTTTCCCAAAATCTGACTGGAGCCAGAAGTAGGCAGGCAGGTTTCAACACCTTCAAACACACGGGGTGCTATCAGCTGAAATTCCTCTTTGAGTACTCTCAAGCAAGGTAGGCTAGAAACCACATGAGTTATACGGGATGCAGACACAGCAACCTCAGTCTGAACAACAGTATTAAAGGGAAGTTCAATTAAATTTAAAAAAAAAAGTTATTTCCAAGGGCTGTGATTCAATATTGGTGTAAATATATAAATTAGTAAAATTTAATAGGTTTCACAAAAGTAACCTCTTTGACTTCCTGGAAGAAAAGCCACTTGGTAAGAGAGAGCACACATCATCATTTCATTAATGCCTATATTACCTAGTATGAGGAACCCTAGGCAACTGTATATTGATAATCATTATACATAATCAATCAGTGTTATGTGAAATGATTCTACATCTACTTCTCTTTATCTATACATAACGCTAGTCATTTTCATTCAGGACTGGACCCTGCTCAACCTTATTTTCAAGGCACTCCAACTGAAGTCAGACTGGATAAATCTGATGCAGACTTTGTTGACATTATCCATACAGACTCAGCTCCCACAATCCCCAACTTAGGTGAGTATTCAGGTCTACTGTATTAATACTGAATTATTTATGCCCTATGGCACTTAAGTAGTCTCATTGTTCATCAAGACTCTGTTGTGCTGTCACAGACACAGAACAAATACACCATACTGGTCACTAAGAGCTCCTAAAACACCATGCACAGACAAACTTGAAGCCAGCAGCTACAGGTATGAGACAACGTTAATTTAAAGCATGCTTACCAATGTTTTAAATGCTTCAGGTTTTGGCATAAGACCAGCAATAGGACATATTGACTTTTATCCAAATGGAGGAGAGGAAATGCCAGGGTGTGGGAAGAACGCTGTCTCACAGATTGTAGATCTCGATGGCATCTGGGAAGGTAAGTATGTTGATTCCATTATAAATTCATGGGTATGTCACCTGTAGCCACTTAACTTTCTCTCATTCAGGTGTTTTGCAGTAGCTCTTGGTGTGTCCACTGGCAATGGCAGCTGCAGAGCACAGCAAAACTATTAATAGGCTCAAAACACACAATTTTTCAGAGCTCATTAAAAAATAAACAAGACAAAGGGTTTGCCTTTGCAAAATATGTCTCCTCTAAAGTATCTAATAGCAGAAATAAAAGTTACTGGAACTGTGCCAAGAAATTTAGAAGGGCCTGTAGCACACATTGCACTTTGTGTCTAGTTGCTCAGCAGCAGCACTGGTGGAGCAGGGCAAGGATGTTCACAGCTGCTCCTGTTAGTGTATCTTCAGCTGAAATTCTTCTTCTGAGATAGAACAATTAATGTAACTCTTTTTTAAGTTACTGATTACAGTCTGAGTTGCCCTGAAGCGATGTTATCATGTCTACTTTTAGCCAGCTAAAAAAAGATTGGCACATAGCTGCTCAATTACACTGTTCTTTGTTGTTTTATATGGCTCTAATAAAATCTCTGAGTATTACAAAATTTCTGTCTATCTACTTAAATTGTACATAATGTTAAAAAAAATAAAAAAAACCCAGAAGATTTCTGCTGTGGAGATTTTTCAGTATATTATCTAAGGTCTTTCTTATACTACTGCAAACACCTTAAACTCTGGGAATCCATGAACTGATTTGTGATAACTAGCCTTTTACTCCATCTTTTATTAAATGCAGCTGGAGGCATTACTTTTTCTTTCTCCTTTTTTTTTTTTGTGGATAGAGTAAACTTGTTATTAATAGTGGGGAATTAAAGCACAAAGAAATAACTGCACTGTATATGATCTTTTTAACCTAAAGATAGGAAAGTAAAGGCAACACAAAGAAAAATAATATATTCATTATTTTAATCCTAAGAGTCTCCTTTCTTATGCACCCCCAAATAATAATTTTGTTTTGAAGTCCTCAGCTGAGGCAAATCAGCATTGCCTTAGGAAGTTCCCTGTTAAATACTTTTCATTTGGTTTTCTTTTGTTATGGTAATGCAACTGTTGCCTCATGCAGTTCTCATTTCTATTTAAACTCGGTCAGATTGCACGAATGAGTGGGTTTGGGGGGGCAGGGGTGCACTAAGCTGCACAGTCAGTCTCCACAAAGCATTTCAAGTTTGCATTTTACACCTGTTGAGTCAGTGACATTCCTTAGGGCATCAATTTCCCAAAAGTAAGTAAGTAAGTTTCCAACTTTATGTTTGATGCTCCAAGAACTGCGTTAAGGCTTTTGAGCAGGAGTGATGCATCCCAATCACAGGGCAAGGGCTGTGCTGATCTCTTTCCTAGAAGGGTAACAGAAAGGAAGAACTAACCTGGAAGCATCTCTTCACAGGAACCCGGGACTTTGTGGCTTGCAATCATTTGCGGAGTTACAAGTATTACTCGGACAGCATCATCTACCCTAATGGCTTTTTAGGCTATCCTTGTGCTTCATATGATCTTTTTCAATCAGTAAGTATCTCTCAGAACTTCAGGATGCACCTTATTGAAAATAGTGGCTCTTATCTATGCATCTGAAATTCAATGTACTTATGCTAGCTTGCACCCAGTGAATGTATCTGTAAGAGGAGTAGGTATCAGATGTCCAAAAGTATTACAGCTTGTGCAGGTGACACAGGTGAAAGTAGGAGAAGGCAGTAACAGAACAGGGGCATATCTAGTTTGGTGCTGGTGTGGCAGCCCTGAAGTGCTACTGGAGCCTGTGTGGCTTCCCCAGGCCTGCTCCTCCGTGTTGAACTGGGGAAGAGGTGAAGAAAACAGGCTGTCCCTGTAATGGCCAAATGTATTTATCAAGAGCAAGGACTGTGATCCCATACTGTAGCAGGCACGCTTTCAAACACAGCTTAGGTTTCTTGGGTTTAGAACAAGAAGTAAAATAATATGTGATAACCTGCAGTCCTTTGGTGACTGAAGATGGCTCCAGGGACAAAGCAATGCTTTACGGACCAAGGTCAGGAAGCCCTTCCCTGTCCCAGACTGGGAGACAAAGAATTACAGCCTAAGAGCAGCAGGAAGGTGACAGGCTCATCATACCCTACAAGCAGCACAGACAGAGGTATAAACTTGCACAGCGCTTAGCTCAACCTTTACACATTCTAGCAGGTGATAGAGATCACACTTCTCAGATTGCTTTGGGAGAAGGTGACTACCTGCTTCTGTCACCATACTAGAAAGCTGCTTTCATGATAAAAGTGAGGTTGGTTTTCGAGACAAAGCCTCCCTTGACCCAACCTGAACCTATAAGGAGACATCCTTCTTTCTCATCAGTTGCTGGGAAGGACACCTCTCTTCCCTGCTCCAGTTCAAGACTACTCAAGATTGGCACTGATGTGGTTGGATTGAACTAAATGGCCCAAGAAGCAGCACAGAGCCCTGAAAAATCAGAGCCTCTGAGAAAGTTGGCTAGCTTCCATGATCCTTCTCAAGTCATAGAAAGGGTTACTTGAAATCTGTTGCTGTGATACAGGGCCAGTTAGGTGGGTATATTAAAAATATGTCCTGCAACTAATTTTTTGTTCTTGGCTGGCTGGATAATGTTATTAATAGATATATATTTGTTTTCACTAGGGAAAATGTTTTCCATGCCCACAAGAAGGATGCCCAAATATGGGTCACTATGCAGATAAATTCAAAGGGAAAATTACAGAGGACTTTCTCAAACTTTACCTGAATACTGGAGAGGCCAGGGATTTTCCTCGTGAGTTTTGATTCCTTCCATTGCTACCTACTCCTTGTAAAAACTTTTTTAATTTTCCTGCTTTACAATCAATTTTAACAGATGAACAGGTCTCAACACAGTGCAAGGGCTGTTCAGTTCTTCATGCTTTTTCCTGTTTTGCTCCAACACTACTGCCCAGTTTGGAGCACTCCAGTACAAGAAAGTTGTTGGCAAACTACAGAGTCTAGTGAAGATCACTGACATGTTTAGTGGATTGCACTACAAGGTGCAAGGAGAGGAAAGGATAGGCAATGCACGCAAGGGAATTTCTTATTAAGTAGTATGAAAATCACAGTCACAATGACAGTGGCTAAAGGCAGGAAGAGGGCTCCAGAGAAGCTGGGAAATCTCCACCTTTTAGATGTTCAAAACTCCATTTGACAAAGGCCAAGAGCAAGCCAATCACAGCTGGGCTGGTTTCAGAACTGGATGGACCAAATGAACCTCATTTACAACCTTAGTTATCCTAAATGTCAGCTCTCAAAACACAGTTCTTCCTTCACCTTTGTAAACACAAATCACAATCTTCTCAAGCTGCTTTTGCTTATTGCACACTGAAAGAAATCACCCGCCCAAAAAATTATTTTACACTGCTTAGATTCTGAATTGATTCCTAACATGGCCTTCTTTCCAACATCACTGTGTATGAAATCCTTCAAAATGCTGAAATCTATATTGTATTTACTATGGTAGGGACCAGTTTTCTCTTTTTCTTTTCCAGAAAGTAACACAAATGTCTACCATTTCTGATGTTGATCTCATTAGGACACAGTGACATACCTGACTCATTGGTGTTTTGTATCTTCTGCTTTCAACTGCTGTGTACAGACAGGAAAAAATAGACAAAATGCCAGCATGTGATATTTTAGAGACTGTTTCTCCCTGGGTGCAGCCTAACTTACTGTATTTCTTCTGTATAGTTTGGAGGTACAAAGTAACTGTGACCCTCTCTGGAAAGAGTAAAGTAAATGGATATGTAAATGTTGCCCTGTATGGCAGTGATGGGAACACAAAGCAGCACCAAGTCACCAAGTAAGTTAATTATTCAACAGAAAAGAAACTTCTAGAATATTTAATTCATATTTTTAATTAATAATTCTGTTTAAATTGATCTTTTTTTAGTGATCAAATTCTACCACTGATGTAAATGTAGCAATAGTTCACTCACTCTGGGTTTACACTTGAAGGGAAAAGGTTAAAATGCAGGATTTTAAAATGTCAGAATTTGGTGTCGCTTGCTTGCTGTTCCACAAAGGACTTGCTGGACCTGCAATAGGAGAGTTCTGATCTTTTTGTCTTTCACAGGCTTGTAAAATGTTGCCACAGTTGCTTTCAGCTAAAGTTACCTTATGATTTACTATACAAAAAAATCTACTTTTTGTTGCTCATATCTTTCCTGCTTACACTGAAGCTGCTTCCTTGCCTCTTGTGGTTTTTGTTTATTTGCATTTTTCTTGTTTGCTTCAACTAAAATATTTGAAATTATGAAAAATACGGAGAAGGCATTTGATGTGAGGTTTGGGTTTAATTCTTTGCTTTTTTTACTTATAACTATGTCACTTCCACTTTTCCAAGGACTTCACATCCTCATGCAAGCAGAAGGTGTGTGCTATGAGCTGATCCCAGTTCACATGCATCCGTGCATTCACCTGAGATGAATCTGGCAGATCTGGCAGTATGGGATGCACTCCAGCCCTCTCTAGCTTTGTAGGACCTGTTTCAATACAGTTGCTGGATGCGAAGTTCTTTTCTTCTCCAGCAAAACTTGCTGTATCCTACCAGGCACCTCTGTTCCAGCAGAGGAACAAAAAGGCAGATGGATTTTGTCCTGTCTCTCATTACTTCCACTACCATAAGCCTTTTAATATGGAGGGGAGTAAACACTCTCCTCTGCAGGCAGACGCAGGAGTGAGTACAAAGCTAGGAATGAAAGTCCTGTCTTTCTCATGAAGCTTGATAAAACTGTAGAGGTTTCTTCTGGGTGATTCATTCAAATGTCTGCTGACAGGGGTAAATTTAAGAAAATAGAGTGTGGGTCTGAGAGAGAGCAAAGAAAAGGATTGGAGAAGTACTGGCTAATGTGCAGTGAGATGCAGTAGCTGAAGCCTTTACCAGTCTCAAACTGCTGTCATTTAGAATTTGCTCTATTGATGCGATATGAAGCAAGAAGTCAGATTACAAACTAGGGATACCAGGAAGACATGGCCATGTTACTTGGCCATGTGTGGGAATCTCTGCTAGACAGCCAGGCTGAGCAGCTAGTAGATAAACCTTCTGCCCAGCCAAAACAAACCCAACATCTGTATCATATAAATTAACTAACATTAAATGAAAATTTCATCTATATGCAAAAAAATCCCTTCCCTACATAAGCAACAGGGAGCGAGCTCTACCACCTCCACAGGGATTATCCTCTAACTAGGTCCTCACTGTGAGGTGTGCCTGCAGCATATCAGGCCCACCTGCCTCTGAAAAACACTGATTTGGGATGAATTAAGTTGGAAAATTGGCAGTAATGTTGTTACCATATTATATGATAAATATTGTCTCTCTGTTAATTCTCTACTCATTTGATACCACAGCCAAGCCAATGAGAGGACTGGTAATTAACAGTAGATGCTGGCATGCGTCACATCCATAAAATGTTATTTTTCACAGGGGAACCCTCAAACCAGACAACACTTACACAGCCTACATCGATGCAGAAGTTGATGTTGGAAAAGTTACGAAGGTTAAATTTCTTTGGAACAACAACTGGATTAATCCAACTTTGCCTAAATTAGGAGCTTCAACTATCACAGTAGAATCTGGACAAAATGGAACACAGTAAGTATATCCATTGTGAAAATCTTGAAAGTTACTTGAGAAGATAGGTGACAAAACTGTAAGTGGATTGAAAGCCTTTTCACAACAAAAGCTATTTAAAGCATTAAAAGAAAAAGACCCTCAAGAAAACCTTTTATTTCCTTCCTTTCAAGACACTGTTCATCCATAGTTTGATTCACTACTACTTCAAGTCTTGACCTTAAATAACTTCAAAGAAAAACTTAAAATCTTTCCAGGCTTTAGAAGAGCAAGCTTCCTGTATAACTCTTTGGGTGAGGAAAAATTAGTGCTGGCTGGATTGTCAGCATCACTCTTGCCAAGCTCCACAAGAACTGCTTGTTTTTGTGTCAGATTCAGTCAGCTGGGACCAGCAGAAGTATTCCATTGATATGGATGATCCTTGAGGTCATGACTGACAAAAGAGGATGGTGACAATAAGCCTTCCAATGAGGACTAGTACTTAGAGCCTGCACTTAAAGCCTCTCTATAAAATTGAAGTAAAGAGGCTAAAAGCGATTGCTCTAGACTTCATGGAATATGGCTTGATGTTCAGATTACAGAGGTAGGATTTATTGATCCTTTTTTTCCTGGACTTTTAGTAATTAAGTCCCTCATCTGCTTGTTCAGTTATTTTATTTTATCCACCCTATGATTTGGTATCTAGAACAGGAGGTACAGGGTAAGTTTCAGACCCATATACAAATGCACAGTTAAAATTCCATCACTTAAAAGACAACATGGGAGATGAAAACAATTTCAAGCAAAGAGAAGTGATTATGGCACCACTTTAACTTACCTTAAAGCAGAGATTCTAGGTCCAGTTTTAGTCTCTGTTCACCAAAGCACATCACTGATGAAGTGTATTCCTGCAGATAGGAACTCACTTTTCTACTGACTCATGGCCTCTGTACAAGTAGTTGTGGTCATCTACATAGTGATGGTAGCACAAAATCTGGAAAAGAAAAAGAAACTAAAATTAAAGGAAGGCAGACAGTAAAGCAGAATGGACACAGTCTATCAATGCTTTCCCCAGCAGTAATATTTCAAACTTAGATGCTCAAAGTTTGTTCTGTCCATTTGTGTCAAATGACAAATCAGGTTGACTTACATTAAAACAAATCCACTTGTATAATCTCAAGAAATGTTGACAACTCAAGGTGCTTGCATTTATTTCTTCTTCAGATACCATTTCTGTGGGTCTGAGACAGTGAGAGAAGATGTTCTGCAAACTCTTACTTCTTGCTAACAGCACATAACCTTGCTATCAATAAAAGCTACTCATGCAGAAAACACTGGAGTCTGCAGTCGTAATACTGATTATATGTGGGGGTAATTTTGTTTGTTTGGGGGGTTTTATTTGTTTGTTTTGGCTTTGGGGGTTTTTTGGTTGCGGTTGGTTGTTTAGGGTTTTTTTGTTGTTGTTTTGTTTGTCTGTTTGGGTTTTTTGGTTGGTTTTTTTTTTGGTTTTGGGGGTTTTTTTTGCTACTTTGTGAGGCAGAGGTTAAGTCTATGGATATCTCTCTATAGATGAATTTTTTTGAATAGCTTTAGGAGAGAATGAGCCAAAACCTGTTAAGTGTTCCCCTGCTTTCAGCCTGTTTTGAAATAATTTCAAACCAGAGGAGGAAAGGGGGCAGGTGACAGAATCTGGATAGTGGCTCCTGGGCAGTTCCAAAAGAAAGCAGATCTGCTTGTGAGTAGGAGGAGTGGATTAAGGAATCTGATATTCTTAGTCAAAATGAAGGCTAAGCCCAGAATTAGCACGAGATAAAGATGAAAGAGAGATAGGAGGGGACGGTGAGAGGTTACAAAATGAGGACAGAAGTTTAATTACCTGTTAGAGATGGAATAGTCAACTTGATGGAGAATTGCAAATGTGTTTTGGGGCGTTAATGCTGAACTGAGCTCATACCATGCCCCATCCCTGGAAGTGTTCAAGACCAGGCTGGATGGGGCTTTGAGCAACCTTTCCTAGTGAAAGGTGTCCCTGCCCATGGCAGGTGGGCTGGAACTAGGTGGTTTTTAAGGAGCCTTCCAAACCAAGCTATTCTAGGATTTCTATGACCTAAACAGAATTATTTTGAGAAATCTGCATAGAAAATTTCAAATGTTAGTGAAGTTTCACTGAAATGCTTATAATCATAACAATCTCCAAAGTATCCTGAAATCCCTTATGCTGGGCCTCAGCCTTGAACAAAACTGCCAGATGATGGGATCAAAACAGGTAATGCGATGAGAGGATCGGTCCTTTCCATGCTTTCTGATAAACAGGTTCAGCTGAAGTGTGGAGAGTTCACGAATTCATTTCTGACCCTGTGTAATCCTGTCTCAGCTCCTTCAGCCTGCTGCTGGAGAAGCCAGCTGGATTGCCTCTGCTGCCAGAAGTAGTCCATCCTCACAGAAAAAATCCCACAGAACTGATGGAGATCTACCACTGCACAGACCTAACAGTCCTGGGGACCTTTCCTGCAGTTTCTTCTCAGGTTCCCCAGACTGGGGCGCTCTGGTCTTTCTGCCTTTCTCATCCTCCCCCATAACATGTTTTCCTGAAGGACATCAACCTCCCAGCAAGGCTTTAGATTCCCTGTGCAGTGGTGGAGGTTGAAACCAATTTATTCTGTCTTAGAGCACTACTCTTTTAATATAGAAAAAAATAGTGTTTCTTTTTTATTCAGTGCATTCTGCCAGCTCTTGAAGGGAGATGAGGGCTGTAAAGAATAGAAAAGGGACCATCATCAGCACTGAAGATTAGCTACCTGTGGGCATGCTCTGAGCTGGAATAAGTTCCTTATGTAAAAGCCAAACTGCTCCTTGCTTTAACACAACTGAAGATAATATCTTCCAGCAATTTCAGTTTTAGTCAGAGATGTGCAGGATTGCTTTTATGTTTAAAAACTTTCTAAATTGCACTTGTGCCTCTTGCCCAGATTAAAAGGCACTATTTGGTTTAGATTAGATATAAGGAAGAAGTTTTTTACTTTAAGAATGGTAAAACACTGGCACAGGTTGGCCTGAGAGGTGGTAGATGCCCCAGCACTGGAGACATTCAAAGTCAGGCTGGACAGGGCTCTGAGCACCTTCGTCTAGTTGAAGCTGTACCTACTTATTTCAGGGGCGGGGAGGGGTGGTGAACTAGACAACCTTTAAAGACCAATTCCAACCCTAACTATTCTATGATTCCACCCAATTTTGCTCCCTCAGGAGCATAATATTGTTGCCTTAAGAGACCACACCCCCCTAACATTGCCTACTTCCTTCTGCCTTCACTGTTTGTCTCTTCCAGACACTGGCTTCCTGATCTCAGTACCTCCTGCTGAGGAAACCTCAACAGGGTTATTAACTTCCTAACACTGTAGAAGAGTTTCTCCTTTGTCTTTTGTTCCATTACCTTGGTATAAGCAGATTCTTGCCTACGCAGTTGTTTTGACAGTTACGATATTCTCGGCATTATCCTTTGCCATAGCCACTTCAGCAACCCATGTAATTTTAACAAACACCTAACAGAATCAAGACGTTAAAGTTGACAATAGCATAATAAAAAATCTCCTTTTAATAATGAACTGGAGCTGCCGTCATCTTGTTTTAGCCGAGCAAAATCTCCCCCCTCTGAACATTTTACAAAGCTATTACATAAAATGCAATGTTAAATGAACAACAAATTACTTTCCCTTTAGCTAGCTTTTAATGCTAATGGTGCTATTTATTCCTGACCTTTTGAAATATTAGATATTTTAAATGACAACATAAAAAGAATTCTTGTTTGAAAACGCGAGCGACTTTAAACCACATGTTATTACTTGTAAGTATAGCATGCACATGCATCATTCATTTCAGTGTCCCATTTATGGCTAATTGGTATATATTTCAGTTGACATATATTGTTCTCCTGCAAATGTGTCAAATTCCTTAACGATGTTGGTGACAAAAGCAGAACGCTTGAGATATATAAATTACTCTCTTTACCATATAATCATTCTTATCTATTGGGAATGCTATTTGTCACAAATTGTGTTCAAAAATACACACTAAATTGATTATTTTTTTTTTTGAACTTTAATATCACACCATTCATGGCAAGTCTTTGATTGAATCTTTAAATGTAGGAATGTTTTGATTTTTATCTGCATCATTTTGTAGCTTTTGAAAAGCTCACTTTATTTATTAAAGGAAGAGTAGCACAGCGAGAATCTCAAAATGTATCTTTTGTTATCAGCATAAGAAAACAAATGGGCTATAATTGTGGATATAAAGTGAGTAATTTGGTGAAAAATGCTTTGTGCTGTAGTTAAGGTTTTATAATTCCTGCCAGAAATTACTATTATTTTGTTGGTGGGCAGCATTGCAATCAGAATTTTAAATATGGGAACAACTTGGGCCACATATTTTTATTACATTTGAGATTACCATGTGCGATGCATTTTTCTCCTATATTACAAATAATCTGAGAATAATAAAAAAAAAATAAATTGAAGATTTCATGTGGCTCTAATTATTACTGAGCTATACCAGAGCTCATTGTTGTCTTTAGACAATGCTGTCCACAGTCATTACTTTGTTCCGTAAATCAGTAGGATAATGAGGTTCTATCTTTCAGGAAATATCTGAGCGTATCTTAATTTGGCATTGATGAATTCTCTTTGCTGAATCTCTTGAGGGGTTTTTTAATCTAGTTTGTCATATTAGAGCTTTCATCACCCAGTCACAGCTGACGGTGTAATGTACTTGTATTTATTTCCATACCTTCCTGGGATGTGTCCTCAGAGGTTGCAAATAAGAATTTTATGATGTTATGCCTTGAAGGCTAGTCTTTCCTTAGTTTGAGTGTAAATCCTAAGGTATTTTGCCATACCCTCATACTTCAGAAATATATACTACGTATGGTTGTATTTAACTGTGGAAAAACAAGTCTAAATTTGTTAACAACTTATTACTGATATAAACTGGGAACAATTTCTTAGTCAAAAGACATATCTACTAGAACAAAATACTTTTTTTGCCAAAGAAATTATGTAACTTAAGCTACTCATTTTGTTTCCTCTGCAAACCCTCTCAAATTTGAAGACAAGAAAAGGTAAGATGTATCCCCTTTCTTACCTGGTCAAAACAGGAGGCTTCAGCAGAGGGCAGAGGAAGAAAGGAGAGGGTTGATGTGATGTTCCACAGCCCTGAATGAAAAAATACTTATAGTGACCTACATGACACTTACTTCTAAATCGTGCCTATATACAAACAGAAGCAAGAAGCAAAGTACTCTTTAAATTATGTCTAAATGTTGTATTCAATTACACAATAACATTTGAGTGGCTACTACCCTTGCTGGCACCTTGAAGACACGAGAGACCCAAAGACAAAAGTTGCATTCAGGTTCCTCTTTGTGCTGTGACCCATGGAATTATTGTTGTGGCACACATCCTATGGAAAATCTTACCTTTAATTGCATTATGTAGGTAATGGCTTCACATCTCACCAATTACAGAGGTAAAGGGGAAAAAAAGGTGGATCTAAACCTCCACAGTAATGCACTTCTTTACATAGTAATTTATATTATTAAAATTTTTATAACCTAAGTCTCGCTCTCATGAAAAATAACAGCAATGAACATTACTGGTGGCTTGGGTACCTCAGTTTTGGGGTGTGAAGTTCCAGAGGTTGGATTCCTCTGGGAGTCCTGAATATCCTTTTTGGAGAGTGAGGTCTGCCCTGAGAGCGGTACCATTGCTTGCTTAGAAGAGGCTCTTCATTAAGGAGGAATATAGTCATCACCCTAATTACACGGAATGCAGAACACAAAGTAAGCATGTGTATGTTCCTGCCTGAGGTGATGGAAGAGCAGAAGCCATCCCCTCCTTCTCCCAACACAAAGCACTCTGTTTGCTGGCCACAGCCTGAGTCAGATGACAGAAACTCCCACAGGAACTGCTTAACAATAAATAAAACAAACTCTTGGTTTAGACTGACAACCTTTTCTGCACTGTCCTTAATTCCTTACTCAGAAGTCATCAGGAGAGGTGTGAAAGAGGTTGTCCACCACCTGCAGCTCTCACCAAGGTGCTCTCAGTTCCTCAGGGGGGTCTGTGGCCTGACCTCACATCTCTCTCCAACTTGTCTCTTTTCCCCTTTGCTTGCAGTTTGGAAATCAGTGCCTCTGTCCGTTTTGCACCCCTGGAGAGGGACAGTAAATTTAGTGGGGAGCCAGTGAGGAGACTGTTTGCTCCCTCTGCACCCTCATTCTGCAATTCTCCCTCTCCGAACCTGCGTCTCCCAGAGAACACAGGGAGGATTTGGGAAAGAAGGCTTCTGCCCTTCATTAAAGAGAGACTGTAGGTCCTCAAGCCTTTGCTTTAATCCCAAAAGGCATTAAAATATCTTTGCTGGGTCATGAAAATCAGCCTCTCAGTCCCTCCCACCGAACCTGAATTACAAACCCTCTCCCAGTGCCTGACAGAGAGGTCACTGAAGGGCAGCTCCTGGCACCGCTGTGCCATCCCTTGCTGGGTTGGAAGGGATGGCAACACAGCAGCAGAAGGGAGCATATTTTTGTAGCAACAGACCCTTGCTGGGGATTAAAAACTTCTTTTTAAGCAAGGAAAATGTTAAGAGTGAAAAGTGACTGAACTAAAGAATAATTCTCCTTTTGACCCACAGAGAAAGAGGTGCCTAATGAAAAGATATGATCACGGACAGTGTGAAGATAACTGTCTGATCAGATAATGGAATTGTTTTCAGTGATAAGAATGAATCCATTACTAATGCAAATAACGATAATAATTATAATTTGCAATACAGTAAAAATCACCTAGTCTACCTCCTCCTCTGACAGGAGACTGTATAATAAATTATAGGCTGAGAAAAAAAAAATCAAAGGGATAAAGGTTAAAAGATTTTTAAAAATTCTGAAACTTAAATGCTTATCAGGGAAGTCAAGACCTGAAAGCAGAAATTGGTGCTATTAACTAAAGCAATTGTGAAGAATGAGATATTATGGAATTGATTAACAAACCAGAAACCAAGCATTTCCTCATATCACTACCTCTTGTCACAAATTTCAATAATTCTGAAAGAACAAAAAATTAAGAGTTGGCATATAACAAGGAAATTAATTATTTCAATGTAGGTGAATATGCTAATAGTACTCTGGGAAGATGAATATAACTTAACACACAAAAAGCCCCCAGAAGATTCAATAAATTTGAGGAGTTTCACCAGTTGTGTTTGCTTTGCTTTGGTATCCAGAACAGGTCCAGCTGTTCCCTCACTCCCAACCAGGACTGCATCCTCAGACAGTGCACCTCTACCAGGCAGCGCTTTTAGGGCTGTCTGGGCATGCCAAGATGCTTATGCCAACTCCATAAGCTTTGTTCATGTGAGGGATTTCGGGTATGGAGACAGCATGAAAAATGCTTAATTTCACCTCGGGAGGAGTAGAATCATCATCATCATCATCATGGCCAGTCTTCGCGAACGAAGATTTGGGAAAGGTCTTTACCCACAGCTGTTACAAGCGCGCTGGTGATACAGGGCTTTGCAAATGGCGGTAAGGCCTTCGAGCCTGCGCAGGGGATTTTTTAGGTGAGACACAGTGTGCGCTGAACTGAGCCCACCCTTTGATCCCAAGGTTCATCTGCCTTACAGGGCTGAACGAGCTCCATCTGCCCGGGTTTAGAGTTGTCTTTCTCTCCTGTGTGTTCCGGGGCTGCCCTCTCATCTCCCACGATGGCACTGTGCGCACAGGCGAAGCTCCCATTCTCTCGCTCCTTTCCGCACCCGGGGCCGGGCCGCAGCCCCCGGGGCCGGCCGGGCCGCGCGGCCGCGCCACACGAGTTCCGGGGCCGGCCCGGCAGGAGTAGAATAGGGCAGATGAAACAAATCTTGCGTGCAGAGTTTGCACAACAGTGAGCTGTTCTCTTGTTCACAGAAATTCTCTTTTGGTTAAGCAGAGAGGAAAGAGTGATAAATAAGGTTTATCATTCAGTGCTGGCATCACATCAGTCTTACAGTTTTAAGTGATAGAACATTGGGAATCTACCAAGAGGTCATGAGATTCTTCCACACCCATCAATTTTGAGTAAAGTAACAGCTATTAAGTGACAGAGCCTAAAGCACTGTCTTCCAACACTCTTCATTTAGATCTTCATTTTCCAAAGGACATGATGTCCCATTACAGCCACACAGAAGATGCCAGAGATTTTAATGACAGGAGGAGTGTAAGGGAGACTTAAAGACCAGAGGTGCTGACACCTAGCCAAAAGTAGGAATGACTACTGGATTAAATTAGCCTTTAACCTCAGAGTGGAGCCCCATTTTCTGTGGCTGGAGTATTTTCTTGCATTTTAAATTCAGAGTAAAAAGCTCAATCTATCCTGCCCAAACTTCCCCAACAAGTCATTCATGAAGATACAGATTTCTCACACTCCTTGAAGTTTTTCATTGCAGCATTTTTCATGTAGCTCAACACACTTCAGGTCAGCAAGGCATAAGTAGTTTATCAGAACCTCCACAGTATAGGAGTTCAAGGAAAATGCTTTAACAATGCAATTTCTAAAAGCAAAGTGAGCGCAAAACTCACAGTCTGTTTCATAACCATAATTTGTGGTTACCTCATAGGTGTAATTTATCCAAAACACATCCAGCTAATACAATATTAACTGCTACAAGCTCCTAAGGTTCAAACATGCACCCTTCAGTTTGCACACAAGAAGGCCTTTAACCATTGTTTGCAAAAGTCAAAACCACAATGTGCCTCAACTCCCCATATCACATTTCATTGTTTGTTGATGCTTCATCAGGGCTGTTTCGTAGTGAGATGTACCCAACACAAGCCCTTCATGTGTATGCACACAGAATAACCTTGGCATCAGTTTCCAAATCTCCAAATCAGCACCCACTGCCAACAGAGCCATAAAAGAAAGATCATAGGTCTATAAAATGTGATTGAAAGACCTGGGGTTTAATTAAAGATTTAGACTCAGGGCATGCATGAAACTAGTCTTCAGATATGTCAAAAGCTGTCAGAGCAGGAATGGGATTAAATGTTCCCATGTTCTCTAGGGGTAGGACAGCCAGAGAGAGTCAAAGCTGACATTATGTAAGATTTTAGACAGGTGAGGACAGTGAAAGACAAGTCAACTGCCCAAGCAGGCAGCATCATCGCAGGATCAGAAGGTTTAAAACCAGACTAAATAGAAGTTGGGAGTAGCTTAGGCAGAACTAATACTGTTTTGGAGCAGGACAGTGATAGACGATTGGTGTCTGAGGTCCTTTCCAGCTACATGGATCCCTGTGATGCTCTGACAGAGAGACAGTTGCAGTCAGCAAAAATACTGGATGGATCCGCACAGAGATAGAAAAAGAGAAAAGGGGAAAATATATATACTATACACTATGCACTACCTGACTCTGAAGGAGAGAAATGAAAAATGCTTCTGTGGGATGTGATCAGTGTGGTTTGTCAACATCCCCTCAGTCCTGTAGCATTCTTGGTAAGTGTGTGGCACTTTTTGATTTTCAATCTCATGTGTTTCACCCCTAAGACAAAACAAAAGAGCGACAACATTATTCAAACGCTTTTTGGAACACCCTCAATCACTTACCTGATATTTCAACTGCCTTACACAATTATCAGACTGAAACACTGACCTTATTATCCTGAGTTGACAAAATATCTATCCTTCTGACCACTGAGTTCTACAACTAAGGACTTTTTCATGGATAAGGCAGCTAGCTGAGTGTTCCCAACACCCTACAGACAGTACTGCCATCCAGGACCCCTGCTTACACAAGGAACATCAGGAGAAAATTATCCCAAGAAGGATGCAGTAATGTTTTTTGTAGAAAACCACACTTAGATACAAGAACTCCTGCATATATCATCCAGGACCAGCATCTTTTCTGCTGGATTCTGCTCTGCTCACGGTTAACTTATTTCAACTCCTCTCATTTTGAGGAGTCAGTTGTCATCTAGGTAAAGTGTTGGCGAGGGGTCACGGGCTGAGAAAATAAATCTATTATGATTGTCACTAGATGAAAAGTAAAACCTCTGAACAACACATTGAACTGCAGTGTTTTAACTGCAACCTTGTGTGTGTTAGCAAATACACAGGCACGGCATGCAGGGGGTTTGTTGTGGGAAGCATCAGGGCAGCACTGAGATTGCTCTTTGTACTACAGAGGAAGAGGATATGTTCAGTCTGGTGTCCACTCTTATCAGCTGATGGCAGACGGAAGTTCCTACTAGAGGTGCAGAGCTTATTCCTCAAAGGGAAGGAAATACTCCTTGCTGCCCTTTGGAAAGGGAGAGTCACCTTTCTAACTCCTTAGATTACTATGGTTTAATGAACTCTGCATTCACAGCTCTCAATCTCACCACTTCTTTCTGTTTTGAAACCTTCCCTGATCTTGTTACTGCCGGAGCACACCAATGCCTTTGTCCTAGTAGTTCAAAATCCTAGTTACACACTGATTCTTTCAGTCTCCTTACACTCAATCTGGTATTGTCCTCTTTTTCTGTCTTGGCTCTGCTGCAGCACACAATATTCCCAGAGTAAGCTTATATTGTATTTTTCATTTCTCCCTGTTTGTGTCAGCTCACCTGTGGACACGGATAGAAGGATCAATCTACCAACTTCTTAATTTTTTTGCCATCCCATGGTAGTGAACACCATGTCCGAGTTCAGTAACTTCTGCTGTGGGCACAAAGCCAGAGGTCTTGCAATATGGTGTCTAGTAAACCTTTCCCTATTATTATATAGTCTCTGAAAAATTAGAAAATAAGTACTACTTTAAAATTATAAGCAACACCCACTCAACTGTATGTTAACCAAAGACAATACAGAATTTCTCAGTTTGCAGAAAAATGTTTGCCGTCAACTGACTTAATATATGGCATAAGGATTGGCACAAGAGAGTTTTTGCTGCAAGAAATTGATCTTTGCATCTGTGGAACTGCACAGGCTATAGTGAAACTTCTTGCTTTGTTTGAATATCCACATTCAGGTCTCTAATTTGAAGGAAAAAAGCACAATGACTTATTATGACTGCATCGGTTCCACCACAAAAAAATGTTTCTCTGTGTTAGAACACAGCATGTGTTGAGAACTAATAAAACAGAATTTATTCCTAAAAAAAAATTAAGTACAAGCATTCCAATATCAGTACCTAATGAAACTGGCAAATAACAGGCCTGAATCCCAACTACACAAAGCATCTGCATTTCTCATCAATTTACCCAGGCTGCATGTCTTGAAAATAAAGCAGCTCTTGCACTGAGTAAAGGAACTCTGCATTCATTGTCCTTAAGACATTTTATAAGTTGTTTTATTCTATTGCTATTCACGTGAATATAACATCTGCAAATTTCAGTAAGGGCTTATGTGATTTTGTAGAACCAACAATTTATACATAATCCCTCCTATCGGGATGGGGCTGTAACTTTAAATATAAACACACTCATATGAGAAAACCTGGAGATTTAGAAAAGTCCAATGAAAGGATCAAATTCTGAATGCACATACATGAAACTCCACTGGAAGCTTCAGCGATGTGCTAGAACACTGAAAGCAAAATTTGGTTCTCAATGTGTCTCTGAAGACTGTAATTATATTTCCCATTGTACTGGTAACATTAATTGAATGTTTAGATGAAATCAAGTTCATTACAAGTTAAATACAGTACCTCGCCTATTAGGATGGTGTTTATAATTATAGTCATAAAGCACCTGTAAAACATCTTCATTGCAGCACATAGGAGGAAGTTGGGGTGTAGTGGCTGCTACACATCTCAGTTCACTCTCTGCATCTCTGCATCTGAGCAGCATCGTACACGAAGGTCACACATGCCCCTGAATCCTCTCTAAAGCTGGTGACAACAATGCAGAATTTTAGAGGGATGTGGCCTACAACTGTTAGCAGAAAAATGTAATATTGCACAAATTGTTATGCAAGGTTTTTTTCAGTCCAGTTGGACCTTACTAAACATTTCTAGATCTATAAAGAGGTACATTTTCATGCAAATATACCTGCTTATTGGCCTGATAATACAATTTTAACAATAAACCACCTTTTAATATACAAGACCTAAAGCTTACCATTCTCTTTGATATACCAAATTTTATATTTGATTTCCTGGCTCTCTGAGAGCACTACTACAGAAAATACCAGATTTGCTTATGGTATTGCTCAAAGTCATTGCCATTTTCGTAAGAACAGTGACACCCAAAAAGAAAAATGAATTTTAAGGTATTTTATTTGACATGATTGAAGACACAAGAACACTCAAGATACAATCCAGACAAGTTGTGAACAGCTCCAAACATCAGTGAAATCTGAATTTATCTTGCACAGAGGTGAACAAGACCACAATGGTTGGTTTTAGAATATAGTTTATTTCAAGCAGGTGAGTACTGTGACGTTATGCCCAACAACTTTTATACTATTCATCCGCTTAAGCCACTTCATATCATAAATATGCAGCCTATCTTGGCAATTAAATGCCTGCAATATATAACTAGCCTTCTCATAATAATGCATTAAAACTCCTGTATATAAGTATTGGTATATTCATACCAATGTAAACTGTCCTAACCATCACTGCACATTTATCATATTCTAACACAATTAATCATTCCATCACAATTAGCTGCTAAACTTTAGCCTAGAGTTCAGTAACTTGGACCCAAACTTGCAAGTTGCTGCTCAGAGCAAAACTTCTGCCAAGACCCCTGCTTTCCCTACGGGTAGCAGGCCTTGTCTTTTCAACATTA